GTACAGGCCAGAGGTGCAGGGGCCGTGAGAGGATTCACCAGAGACAGAGTGGGGAGCAGAACAGGCCTACTGACAAGTACACTGCTGAGGGGAGCAGTGGGCTGGTCAGGTGAGGTCTGCCACGCCATGTGGATCACCTCTGGGGCAGCTATGGAACTCATGCAGAAGTGGCTTTAGCTTCTCAGTGCTGTACTTTAATCCATTGAGCCACTAGGGAGGGTCCAATATTTTTTTTAAAGGAAGATTCTGACTCTGCCCTGCCCAGGAGCTTTATCATCTTGACAGGGCCAGGTGCCTATCCAGGGTGCATCTCCAGGTACTAGTTCTTATCACAGTGGTTTCCCTGTGACTACATAGAGGGAGAGTCTATAAGAAGGTAGTGCCCAAAAGCCTACTAGGTATGGGTCAAGAAAGATGATAGAAAGGGGTAGAAACTAGTACCAAAGCCCTGTGGAGAAATGGGCCTTTGATCCATTCAGCAAACATTAGAGGAATGTTAGGCATTGCTGCAGCCCACACAGTTCCCAACATCAGTACATGGAGGGGTGGGGGAGGGATTCCTGTCCTTTCTTCCCTTTACAGCAGCTAGTAAGTGCTTTGTTAGTATCTGTTGATAAACTGAAAGAGACAAAATCATAAGGACCTTGAATGTGAGAATTAGGTCTTGCCACTATGTGGCTCTGTTAGCAGTTTTTCATGGCTAGTTAGCAGTTCTACCCTAGTGGGATGGATCATCCCTCTTCGCACCTTGTCTGCTATTCCTCTTTCTGTCAGTTCCGTAAAGGAAACCCTTCCCTGCCTTAGGACCTTGGTATTTGCTGTCCTCTCTATCTAGGATATTCTTCCCACAGCCTTGTGTACAGTCAGCTATTTCTTATCCTGTAGGCCACCTTTCTAGACTTTTTAATCTACGGAAGACTTTTATCTTTACATGCTACCCTTTTATTCCTGTCTTTTTCCTCCTGGCACTTAGGGGTGGCCATTTACCCTATTTGTTTATTGCCAGTCCCACATCTAAATGGACTCTGAGCTCCATAGCACAGCGCATATGTCTGTTTAATTCATAAAGGCATTGATAGCACTGAGAACTGAGTCTAGCACATAGTAAGCATGCAGTAGATACTGTTTGAATGAACACAAAGACTTGAAAGGGAAAGCAACAGGAAAGTGAGAAGTACTAATTTCTAGTGACTGCAATTAGCTGGACTCTGGGGCCAGTGACAGCCTCAGAGAAAGATCCAGAGAGGCACAACTCCTGCTTTTTCCAGATCCAAAGGCCCAGGCTTGGGGATCCCTGACTGGAAGTAGAATTCAACCTGGATTCGCTAGGCTGAGCTTTATATGCATTCACCAGTGAAATGACAGTTAATGAAACTCATAGGACAAAGTAAATATTAGAGAAAAATTGTATCCACGTGACTGTTCAGTATATGGCAGTTATTGGTAAAATTTTCTCCACTCATACTCCCAAAAAGATGCCTGGATGTGTGGCTATCTACCAGACCACACCCATATCCTACCCTGTGCACATACCCAATTTCTTTCTTTCTTTTTTTTTTAAGATTTATTTATTTATACATTACAGAACTGGGCTGGGATACAAGCCAGAGGTGCGGGGGGGGGGGGTGAGAATTCACCAGAGACTCTGGGGAGCAGAACAGGCCGACTGATAAAGAACACTGCTGACAGGAGCAGCGGGCAGGTCAGGAGAGGTCTGCCATGCCATGTGGATCACCTCCGGGGCTGGTGGGGATCAAACTCATGCTGAAGTGGCTTTAGCTTCTGTGTGCTGTGCTTTAACCTGCTGCACCACCAGGGAGGGCCGGCACACACCCAATTTCTAATGTTTCCTCTCCCCTACTTTGGAGTTGGCAAAAATGGTTAGGAAATTTTTCCCCTGTGGTATCTCCAGTATCTGCAAGAGGAAGAAGTACTTGAAAAGGAGGTTATGGGATTATATTTACTTATTTAAGGAAAGTTGTTTTTTTATTTTTAAGATTTATTTATTTGTGCATACAGAACTGGGGTACAGGCCAGAGGCTCAGGGGCGGCGAGAGGCTTCACCAGAGACAGAGTGGGGAACAGAACAGGCATATCGACGAAGTACACTGCTGAGGGGAGCAGAGAGTGGGTCAGGAGAGGTCTGCCACACCATGTGGTCACCTCCGGGGCAGGCGGGAATTGAACTCATGTGCAAGCGGCTTTAGATTCTCAGTGCTGTGCTTTAACCGGCTGCGCCACCAGGGAGGGCCTTAAGGAAAGTTATTTTAAAACAGTTTTGTATTAATAAGCTTACATCAAACATGAAACTAAGGAACTGTCTAGTCTAATCTGTTGTTGTTTTTAAATAATGCCCAACTATCCTCCTTAGTGCAGTTAAAGCACAGCACAAAGAAGCTAAAGGCACTTCCACATGAGTTTGATCCCTGCCTGCCCCAGAGGTGACCCACATGGAACAGCAGACCTCTCCTGACCTGCCTGCAGTGTACTTCCATGATCTGCCTGTTCTGCCCCCTACTCTGTCTCTGGTGAATCCTCTCACCACCCCTGCACCTCTAGCCTGTACCCCAGTTCTGTATGCATAAATAAATAAGTCTTTAAAAAGATAAAATAATGTCCAACTAAACTGCTGTTCAGGCTATTATGACAGTAATCAGAGGAAAGAGTATGACTGATCTTTGTGGATTGTCAAGAGTGATGCCGAGATTTAGGTGCCTGCTGCACTAGGCACGCAGAAGCTGTTCCTGTTCTTCAGATAGAAACATTCTCTCTCTCCTTTCATATTGTCATTCCTTCATAGGTGAAGAGTTTTAGGTCCTATACCAGTTGCAGGTGAACAGAGAATTTGTTCTAATCATCTAATCTGGTCCTGTTGTTAATGTCTTAGAGCAGCCAAATTAGAGGCATGGGCATTCTCCAGATGAAGAGGGCATTCCAGAAAGGAAGAATGTGGTATGCAAAAGGCATGATGGCTATGGAGGGCGGGAGGGAATCATAGGACCTGAATAAGTAATCTTCACACAGAAGAATATAAGGACTGAAAAAATAGATCATGACAGAGGAGGCCCAGGAGACTGGACTTGATCCTAGATGCAGCAGGAGACAAATGGAAGTCTTCTAGAAGAAGTAAGTCACTGCATTTTAGAAAAAGGAACAACCACTGAAGAGGCTTAGGTGGAGAGTCACAAAACTGGGAGCTATTAAAAGAGAGTCCAGACATGCCTTGATTTTGCAGCATACTACTAATAATGAAAAATTTCCTGCCCACTGTTTGGCTCCAGAAAGATTGATCTGAGCAATCAGCTACCCTGCCCCCATTAAGAAAAATTGCTTATGAAAATTATCTTGTTTTATGGTATGTATCTTGAAAGTCATATAATTTTTGTTGGATATGTTAGGAAGTATGTGTACCTGTAGACATGTGTATATCTTTTCTTTGTACCTATAAAGAAGAGAGTAGAAAGTTTTCTTTAATTAGGTACACTTAAATTATTTAGGTGGAAACTAATTAGTGAGTAGTTGTAATTCTTAGAATCTGCATGGATTCATTTTAGGTCTGTATATAATTGAAGAGCTGTTTATTTTCAACTTTGTTTAGATGGTGCAGTCTTTGTCCATGTACTTAGCCTTTCTGCTTGACGTTTTAGAAAATGTCTATGCTTTTGAAGACACCATTTTGCTTTAAAACTATCATTTTCCTTTTCAAAATGTCATCTTTTGTTTTTGTTTTCTTGATATTCAAGATGATAATTTAGTGAGTTAACAGTCCAGATGCACTCATCTTTGAGTGAAGAACTTTGTTTTAAATCTGTAATCACTATGAATATTTAAATTCTCATGATATTGTAAGGGTTTTGTTTTGTTTGAAATAACTGATTTGTTTACTATTTACTTGATAAACACAAATCTCTGGAAAGGTGCACTCAGTCAGCTAGACAGGAATGGGGTTAAGGATAATGGTAGCTTTCTCAGTAGCATATAGGAAAGACAAAGATGTTGGTTGAATGCACATTCATGTAGATCAGGGATTTGCTTGCAGAGTTATCTTCTACCTGATAATCCTTTTGTGCTTTATAGCTTTTCTCTCACTCCCCCTCCAGTGCACTAGAATTCTGCTCTAGGGATTTTGGAGTGAACTGCCCTTGTCACTGCCTCACTTCTCCCTCATATTTAACTGGGCACCAGGTCCTGTCATTTCTAGTTTCCCAAAAAGATCAGGTTTTGTCATTTTCCTCCCCGCTTTCACCCTGTATTTCAAATAACAAGTGACTCTGTTTAAAACCCTCCTATAGCTCCCTATTACCTTTACCATAAACAACCAAGTCTCCACCAGAAGAGGTGTAGCCTCTAGCTGCCACTCTGAGCCCCAGCCTCACAGGCCTGCCTTCTCCATATGCATTCAGCTACCACCTGCCACAAGGCCTTTGATGCCTCCAAATCAAAGGCTCTGCTCCCTTTCCGACTCCTATCAAAACCACTAATCCTTCAGCTCTCAATTTACAAGCCATTTCCTCAAGACTACCTTGAGTCCTCCCATTATGTTTCCAACAGCACCATTGTAGCCAGTTGCAATTTTATATTTGTGTACTTCTTAACTCTTCCCAATATAAACCTTTTGGAGGGTTGGGATTGTGTCTGTTGTTTGCAGCCTGGAACGGAGGTGCTTCACAGCTATTTTTTTTTTTTTTAAGATTTATTTTATTTGTACATACAGAACTGGGGTACAGGTCAGAGGCACAGGGGCGGCGAGAGGCTTCACCAGAGACGGAGTTGGGGACAGACCAGGCAGATGGATGAAGTACACTGCTGAGGGGAGCAGCGGGCGGGTCAGGAGCGGTCTGCCGCGCCATGTGGTCACCTCCAGGGCAGGCGGGAATCGAACTCATTCGGAAGCGGCTTTAGATTCTCAGTGCTGTGCTTTAACCCACTGCGCCACCAGGGAGGGCCCTTCACAGCTATTTTTTATTGAATAAACTGATGGTCTCTTATACTCATTCTAGATATGCAACTGGTTCATCAACGCTCGGCGGCGACTTCTCCCAGACATGCTTCGGAAGGACGGCAAAGACCCCAACCAATTCACCATTTCCCGCCGCGGGGGTAAGGCCTCAGATGTGGCCCTCCCCCGTGGCAACAGCCCCTCAGTGCTTGCTGTGTCGGTGCCAGCACCCACCAATGTGCTCTCCTTGTCTGTGTGCTCCATGCCACTTCACTCAGGCCAAGGGGAAAAGCCTGCTGCTCCTTTCCCACAAGGGGACTTGGAGCCCCCCAAGTCCCTGATGACCCCTGGTAGCACACTCACCCTGCTGACCAGGGCTGAAGCTGGAAGCCCCACAGGTGGACTCTTCAACACACCTCCGCCCACACCCCCAGAGCAGGACAAGGACGACTTCAGTAGCTTCCAGCTGCTGGTAGAGGTGGCACTACAGAGGGCTGCTGAGATGGAGCTTCAGAAGCAACAGGACCCATCGCCTCCATTACTGCACACTCCCATCCCCTTAGTCTCCGAAAACCCCAAGTAGGCCTCTTGTCAGCAGAGGTGCTTGAGGCTTGAGCCAGCTGTCCTGGGTTTCCGTTTTGGTTCCCTTTCATACAGAGGGTTTTCTTGGATCACTGCCAAACATCAGGATCATCTCCTCTGTCCAGAGGCCTTCAGCAGGAAGACGCCAGCTGGTGTCACTGCACTGTGACGGGGACCTCTCCTCTGCTGACTCCCGTTTCTCCAGGCTTTCTCAGTGGTGAGACCAAGAGATCGGAGTCAGGCATGGTGCTGCTGCTGCTTCTCCAGAGACTCCCTAGGACACCTTTGTTTCAGCCTGTTTTCCTGGGCTGGGCAGAGGAAACCTGCCAAGTTCAGACCTATGCTGGGTCCAATATGCCCAAGAGCCAGGCCTCTTTTTGTTAAGCCAAGTATGGATGTTCCAAGTTCATGAGTGTAATCAAAAGAGGAACTTAGCAGATGTAACAGTACTGACTCCAATTGAATGGTTAGGTTTTCACTAAACTTTGTGTTTTTTTCCCATTTTGCTGTGGTTTGCATCAGAGGGAGTAGTTAGCCCAGGTGTGGGGAATAAATGTCATGTGGAGTCAGAGGAACTGGGAATGAGCCACCACTATAGCTGGTAATTGCTTTAGGAGGAAGGAGTATTTTAGTTTGGGGACCAGCTAAATCTTTGCAAAATTCCAAATAGTTGTTTCTTTGGTTTGGTTTACCAAAAAGAAAAGAGGAAAAAAAAAAATGTGGGCCTTGGCTTTTCTGTATCAGGCACAGAAGGGGATAAAGCCACATCCTGGTGAGGATTCAACAGAATCTGACCAAACTTAAGTGCAGAGCAGAGAAGGATGATAAATCAGAGAGTTGTTTTTTAATTTTGTTGTTTTTACTGTATTCTGGGGGGTGGGGGAAAGTAAGCTAGACTGAGGCAGTGGGTTGTGTTTTGTTTTTTTTTTCCTCTTTAATGTTTTTTCCTTCTGTACTTTTGAAAGCTGTGCCCTGCAGCCTGAGTTTTGAATTCCTTTAGGAACTTGGGATTAGTGGGGGACAAGATGTCAAAGGCTGCCAGTAGCTCCTGCTTGGAGAGAAGTGGAGCCATCTACTGGTCAGGAAGCCCTTTTAGTTGACTCAAACTTTAGCTAATTTTCCCAGGCTAGTGGCAGGAAAGGAGGAAGCAGGGGATAGTGCCTCCAGTTGGTGAGGATCTGCCTTTAGAGGAAGCTGGGGCTGGAAATCACGTTATGAAACCTGTTCACTATCTGTGTTGCACCTTTCTTTAAATTGGAGTTGTTCAGGCCCCTGCCCTGAACTCCACAGTAAAACTGATCACAGTTGGTCTTAGTCTCCCCCACCATATCTTATTTTGCTGAAAATGTTAAACAGCAATATACCCCATCCTTTATATATCCTAAGAAACACTAACCCTAGGTTATTACTAGCCAAAATATTTTTGTTCTGAATAACATCGTTACTGGACCAAAAGACAGGTCAGGATCCTCAGCCTGTAGTCCCAAAAGCTGCCAGGTTAGGCAGAAGGGGAAGTTCCTGGTATTGACTGACTTGGGTGGGAGAAAGGCAGCAACATGTGTTCTGTCATTTCTAGGATGATCCCTGAAGGCTTCAGGGAAGCTCCCCACTTAGTGACTTGGCCCTTCCATTCCTGTGGGAGTAAGGAGAGGGAGCTTTGCTCTCTGGGCAAGGTTACCAGGCTCTCAATGCCTCACCTGGCTGCTGCTTCTAGTGCCCCTTCCATGCATGCCCCAGGGGGATCAGGGATCCTCACCTCCCCCTCACCCCCCCCAGGCCCAGCTGGGGAAGAATGGCCAAGGCAGCTTCAAGGTTGAAGCAACTGTCCAGTTTCTTCCGTCCCGCCCATTTGTGAGCCTAAGTCTGGTGACTTGCAGGTTGCTTGTAACGGGAAACTTGAATTATGCTGGGCTGGGGTGCACTGAACTGTGGCGGGGGTGAGGGAGCCATGCTGCTGTATTTTGGTTGGCATTCCCCTCTTATGCAGGATGGGGAGGGTAGGGCTATGGCAGCCTCTGCTTGGTTTGGTTGTGAGATAAACATGGAGAAGCACAGTTACCCGTTGAATTATTTGAGCAAAAAACTACTGTAAATAACTTGTTTTTGTCTTGTCAATTAAAGTTGTTTTTGGGTTTTGGTTTGTTTGTTTTTTAAAGCAGACAGTTCTTCATTGATCCAGTGACCCTGGATCCCACACCTGGGCACAGGGTGGTTTCTGAGTTCTGACTCTGCATTACTCCTTTCTCCACCCCTGTGGTAGCCAGCTGTAAGTGTTGTCTGCATCCTTATTTACTTGGTCAGTCTTAGGTCCTGTTGAACACAATGTGCAGGAGGCTAATGTGTCAAGCTCAGCTAGTAAGTTCACTGGAATCAACAGTCAAGTTTTGAGGACCCTGAGGGAGCTGGAGATCGTCTTCCCCTCCCTATAGGGAAAAAGCATGACTGTAGGGCTGTGTGAAGCCAATCCAGAGCACAGCAGATGAGATGGATGTCCTCAGTCATGGCTGGAACCAATACCACCTCTGGACTTGCCTATTTACCAACTTGTAAATTCCCCTTTTCACTTAAGCTAAGTGTGGAGCAAAATTGCCACAGTGAAATAGCTACATGTTTTAACTGTAGCCCAAAAGAGGCAAAATCAAGGTCTGCAACAGCAGTAAATGGTCTTGCTATATGCCTACATCTGTGCAGTGTTCATTATCTGTTCATTTTTGTGCATACACCTTGTGCCTTTCTTGTACAGCAGTAAAGTACAGAGATGGGTCTGGATTCAAGCCTGTTTTGTTGGAAGGGCACCCTGAGGTCTGCCCAGGACTTAGTGAACTAGTGACAGGCAACTTAACACCTATTGATTTTGAGCTATGTAAGGTAATTTTGACTAAGCACTAGAAGTTTCTTCTAGGGAACCAAATTACCTTTTTCCTGATTTCTCCCTAATATACATGATGGAGAATATCATCTTTCCCATCGCTCAGTCTCCTTGAGGACAAAGTTCCTTTATCCAACAAAGCCCTGGTTTTCACACTTTACTGTCAATATCCCTCAAACTGACCCTGGAACTTGTCAGGAGGAACATACTAGGAGGACTCTTCAAAATAAGCCCCATTGCTTTACACCCAGAAAATTAGTATTCATATCCCCCTAAAAGGGGAAGTGATTTGGATGTTCAGCTGTCTCAAAAGAGATGGTTTCTTACACTTTTTCAAAGAACTGAAACTAAATGTGTCATAATCTTCAAGCTTCAAACTGATGTGGTCTAGCATGAGCAAGCACTCTAGAATGAAAGTTGACAGTAATGTAGCTAGGGCTTCTCTGCAGTTCAGGATGTTACCTGGGGACATGGACCCCTTGGAAACGACCTGCTTTTGAGTTGGCTATGTACTGCTTGATGCCCTCCTTGTGCCCCTATTTTTTTTTTTCTTTTAAGATTTATTTATTTATGCATACAGAACTGGGATACAGGCCAGAGGTGCAAGAGTGATGAAGGGATCCACTACAGACAGTAGGGATCAGTACTGGCAGATGGTTGACCAAGTACACTGCTGGAGCAGCGGGCCAGACAGGAGAGGCCTGCTTCCCCTGGCAGGTATAGAGCTGCTGAAGCAGCTCTAGTACTGTGCTTCAACCCCTTGAGCCACTAGGGGCTATTCTTAACTGCCATGATGATGCCTTGGGTAGCAATGTAAACTTAGACTCCTTGTCTAACAGTAAAAAGGGAGAGAAAGAAAAAGTGATTATCAAGGAAGTCTCTTTCCACCACTTTTTCAAAGTACAATTCTTTATGGACCCTACCAGGAAACATCCTTCCCAGGAATGAGAACCTAAGGGTGGGACTCCTCCAGACTCTGGATCTTAAAAGAAAAGTGTGCCTGCTGCAACTGTGAAAATTCCCAGAGAGCAGAAGCCAAGCCACCCTGGGTGTAGCTACAACCTCACTACGTTCGTATCCCTGGAGCAGTGGAGAATAAAACACTCTGGGGATGTAGTAGTGACTCACTGCTCTCAGCATTACCAATTTCTCGCTCTCTCTGCTGGCTGACATGACCCTAGGCAAGTTAATTCACCACTGCAAGCTTTGGTTTCTTCCTCAACAAAACAGAACAGTGGTATTCACCTCTTAAAGAGAATGAAATCCACAGATTAGTTATTCTTTATTCTTATTATCTGACCTCTCAGCACAGGACTGAGAAAAACAGAACAGCTGAAAAAACTTGCCCCATACTGCACAGCTTTTAAGTGGCAGAACTAATTACCTGAGAAGTAATTCTCATGCCTTAATATGCATCCAGATTGGCAGGAGAGTTTACCAAAGTGGAAACCCCCGGACCTCAGAAATTTGTACCCAAGAGATTTTAAAACTATTGCTCTAGGGACCTGATGACTTATAATCAAGACACTGACTTATCAGGACACTGATGAGTTGGGGAAGAAGACAACCCTTCACCTTTCGGAATTACAAAAGGAAAAAGAGTACCACCCAGGAATCCCCACTGCACCATTTGGTTTCGCCTATTAGTCTCCGGGAATCTCTGATGGTCTGAAGGTCAAGTGTAGTCCTAAATTGTCATTTTAATTACATATGTAACCTATATTCACAGTGGAAAATTTTCAAATACAGGTAACAGGAGTTTAATGAAACGTTTTCTGAAGGAAAACCATTGAGCACAGGTGGCACCTATAAAAGGCTTAGGCAGCACTACTAAGACATTTGTTGTAGGCAAAAAGATGGCTAAACGACAAATTCAGACCTTTGATTTTCCACAGCTAGTGTTGCCCCCCAGATGCCTGATCTGTGTGATTCATCCGTCTGAGGTACTGTCTTGACCCCTCGAAGCATGCCTTTCCCTCCAAACTCCCTATTCAGCTACAAGGACATACTGAATTCCAAGGCTGAGATAGGTGTCTAATTGGTTTAAAAGCCCAACTCCACAAAGGCAGACTGTCCTACATCCAATATTGACTCTTCAAGCTTGTCTCTATCTCAGACCACCCAGGATGTTTATTCTAGCCAGATGGATGCACTGCAGGTTAGCCAGATTCCCAACTTAAGGAAAGTCTGGGGTGAAAATAGAACAGGGGGCAAGTCTCAGTCCCAGAAATACCTTGTAGGCAGGGGTTCTCCAAGCTAGCTCCAGCTTGGCTTTGTTAGCTCCTCAAAAGCTAAAGGAATATAGGTCAGGTTTCAGATGCCTGTCGAATCTCTAACTGGTATGACCTTGGGCTGACACAGGATTTGAGAACACTTGTAAATATAACTTCCTAACTCATGCAGAAGTGGCTTTAGCTTCTTAGTGCTGTGCTTTAATTTGCTGTGCCACCAAGGAGGGCCCTGATTAAGATTTAATATTCTTTAACAAGGATGACAACACCATTCAATGAGGAAAGGACAGTCTTTTTAACAAATGCTAATGGGACTATTGGATACTCACATGTTAAAGAATGTGGGATCCTAATATAACACCATATTTAAAAACTAACTTAAAGTGGATCAAAGACCTAAATATTAGCTAAAACTTAGAAGGGAACAGGGAAAACACTCTAATATTACATGCAACAATGACTTCTTGCATGTGACATCAAAAGGCATAGCAACACTAAAAAAAAAAAATAGGTAAAGACTTCAGGGGAGTGTAAAACTTTCATGCATCATAGGACTATGTAGACAACTAATTTACAACAAAGGAGCCAAAAGCATACAATGAAGGGAGAAAAGTCTTCCATAAAACTAGACAGTCACGTGTAAGAGAATAAAGCTAGACCACTCTCTTTAACACTATATGCAAAAATTAATTCAAAATGGATTAAAGATGTACATAAGAGGATCTCCCCGGTAGCCTAGGGGTTAAGTCTCAGCACAATCACTGTTATTGCCTAAGGTTGATCTCTGGCCTGGAAGACAGCCCACATATGGTGCAGTAGACCTCTCCTGTCTTGTCTGCTGCTCCCCTCAGCAATGTATTTCAGTAGATTCACTTGTTCTGCCTCCACTCTGTCTTTGGTAAATACTCTCACCACCGTCCCCCCAACACCTCTGGCCTACACCCCATTTCATCAATCAAAAAATAAATTGAAAAAATACAAGATTTGCATGTAAGACCCGAAACTGTAAAACACTTAGAGGAGAACATAGGTGACATGTGGCTTAAGTAAGCCTTAAATACCTTTGGGGACTCAACTCCAACAACCACGGGAAATAAAAATAAATAAATAAATGGAACTACATTTTATGAAGTGAAAGAAGCTATCATTAAAATGAAAAAGCTGGCCCTCCATGGTGGCGCAGCGGGTTAAAGCACAGCACTGAGAAACTGAAGCCACTTCCGCATGAGTTTGACTCCTGCCTGCCCGGGAGGTGACCACATGGCTCGGCAGACCTCTCCTGACCAGTCCACTGCTCCCCTCAGCAGTGTACTTCGTCGATCTGCCTGTTCTGCTCCCAACTCTGTCTCTGGTGAAGCCTCTCGCTGCCCCTGAGCCTCTGGCCTGTACCCCAGTTCTGTATGAACAAATAAATTAAAAAAAAAAAAGAAAGAAAGAAAAAGCTGGGCCCTCCCTGGTGGTGCAAAGGGTTAAAGCATAGGAACGTGAAGCTATCAACAGCCACTTCAGCAAGAGTTCTATCCCTGGCCAGGGAGCTGACCCACATGTCCCAGACCTCTTCTGTCTTGCTTGCTGCTCCCTACAGCAGTGCACTTCATCAGTCTGTCTGTTCTGTACCCCACTCTGTCTCTGGTGAATCCTCTCACTGCCCCTGCACCTCTGGCCTGAACCCCAGTTCTGTACGCATGAACAAAAAAATCTTTAAAAAAATAAAAAAGATGTGGTATATTTACACAATGGAATACTACTCCGCTATTAAAACAAACAAAAAAGATGACCTGCATTTACAACAAACAGGATGGGCCTAAAGGATATGACACTTAGTAAAATAAGTCAGACAGAGAAAGACAAATACATATGATTTCACTCATATGTGGTAAAGAAAAGCAAATTAACTACATAAAACAAAAATAAACTTCCAGGCTAGAAGACCAAATCAGTGGTTACCAGATGGAGAGGTGGAAAACAGGG